TTCGAGCAGCTACCACCTACAGCTACGAAAAAAAAATACTCGAACCTTAAAAGTGCTAAGGGAGAGGAGTATGCTTAGAAGCCACCCACCGCCCTGAAATGTGAACTCCGAGGAAATGGAAAAACTTGATTGACAAAAGTGGAATGATGCCACATTGGCGGTAAACTTTCTTATGTTTATTATTGTTGACAATTACCTGTCTTCCTAATATATATTTTTTTCTATTGGAACTTCCTCCTTGTAGAAGCAATCAAAATGCTAACATTGACAATAAGAAATCAATTGAAGAACGAAGCCATAGCGTGGGCGCAAATCTTCTCCATGTTAGGTACACGAAGGCGGTGGGTCTTCTTTAATTTTTTTTTTTCGTTTTTTTTTTTTTAAAGATGATTACTACTACCATCATTTCTTATTTAACTTACTAGTTGAACAAAAAAATCAGACAATTTGCAAAATGGGGGCCAACTGTGCCAGAGTTGCCATGTGTTTACAAAATCAACAACTTTAATGATGTCACAAGCAGTGGATTTTCTCCGGAGGCGAAGAGAATTATGTTGTATATTTACCTTTGTATTAGGATGATTGCAATTTAATTGTATCTTTATTCATTTTTTCTAATTTTTTTTTTAAATGACAGGATATATGATAAAAATCCCAAGCTGAACATTGCTCCCGACCTGTGTGGTTCCAATTCTTCCGGAGGAGCTATCTGTGAAGGGGGATGCTTAAAAGCCAAGGTTCGGAATGTTAAAGGAATCGGGTTGAGGCCGTTCCTTCTCTGTTATCAGGGACTACCAGTGCCTGACTGACAGTGACTATTGAGGCGTCTAGAGATGGAAAAATTAAAGAGGCAAAAGAGCAAATTCAGTCACAAAAAGAGGAAAATTCAGTCACAAAAAGAGGAAATTTCAGTCACATAAAGAGTGAAATTACAGCACAGAAACATGAAATTCAGTACAAAGAGAGGGGAAATTCAAGGCACAAATAAAGAAGATAGCGGAAGATGGAATATGGGTCGTTGACGAGCATTTTGAGATCACATCAAGCATCATGGAGTTTCTTAAGAAAGCAAGGTTTCAATCAAGGACAATTTAGAGATAGGTATCCCATCACTCGTACACGCCTTTTTGGTTAAGTCGCTCGCTCGCTTATCATTTTATTTTTCTCATGTTGGTAGTATATACTATTAAAAGTACAATAGTTTGAATACTTATTAACTAAGATTTAACTAAGTTTGAAAGATGTAATTTAATGAAAATAGATTCATATCACAATTCTTATTAGCATGACTCTAGTTAAAATACACACGAAACCAAAGTAGAGACAAAACTAAGTCAGAAATAGCCCTGCTGTTAGGTGGTGTTTCTATCTGTGGATGTTGGTATCATAATAGCCTAAGTCAAAGTTCCGTGTATGCTCTCTGTTGTATCTGTTATGCTCTGCTGTTGTATCATTCTGCTTTGCTGTGTATCTCTTATGCCTGTGTGATGGACAATCTGCTGGGCAGCTGGTCTGGCGTAATTTTGCTTCAGTTTTGTTCAGTTTTGGATGTGAATCTAATTGTAAGCCTTGGTGGATGTATATTTTCTATATACCTTTGCTGGGATGGGTAGCTTGCTGTGTGCATTTTATCCGGTCATGTCTGTTGTGTTTTTGTGTTCTTGTTGGTCCGTTACCAACAGTTTGGTTTGGTGCTGTGCATCATCCCTCTCCCTGTTCCTCTTGTCCCTTTATTGATGTATTTTCTCCTTCTTGTAAAGGTTCTTTCATCAATAAAGTTTTTGTGATCAAAAAAAAAAAAAAAAGGAAGCAATCAATGTTAAACAAAATAATACGTATAGCAGTGTGTATTATTTTTCTAAATTAGAAGGGAGCTGTTTTTAGGTTTTTGCGTGGCCTTTTACTGCTAATGTAAAATTAATAAGCTTATTATCTACATCCATTTTGTCATTAGCTATCACAACTCACCAGCTTAATGGTCCAGTTTTCCATTTTTTGCATTGTAGGTTGTTGCTCTCTCTCTCTCTCTTTCAAAATTTTTTTTAAATCCCATTTGTGCAGCAGCCACAATATTTGTTCCTTCCCATTCATTGACTTGCATGCTTTAGGTTCTTACCATGAGATGTTGTAGTGTTTATAAACCGGTTTGGCTGCTGTCCGTGGGTCACAGCCTGTTTTGATCCGAGCATAATTCTAGGGATACAGTGAATTGCCATGTTAAGGTGATCATTGCAAAAGCCCATGGGTGGGAATGAGCATGGTATTCATCTTTTTAGTTAATCTCTGTTAATTTCTATTCAAAATAACTTCAAGCTTGTGATCTTGAGTAACAGTTCTGTATATTTTTGTTAAGTTTCTGATATTTTGGCTTTAAGTTTTATAATAAAACTTGCTATTAAATAAACTTTATATATATTACATTCTATGCTAATGTTTGCCTTGTTTATTTTTTTGTAGGTTGGGTTTGATGACGTTCGGAAGCCATACTATGCAAATGAAGATCAACTGTTGAATTTTTTTCCTAAACTGATGCTTAGTTGTAGTTGCAAATTAAGATTGAGTGTTGATTTTTTTTGGTGGACTCCAGTTAGTTATTTTGGGATTTACTTTGATGTCTTTTTTGTGATACTTAATGGATTATTATAAGGTTGTTTGATGGATATATTTTGATTATAAACCCTCAACCGTCCAAACTCATCTCTTTCTGGGCCACAAAACTTGGAAAACACTTGGTAACCCATAACAACAATACGGTTTCAAAAGCTTAATTCAAGAAACTCTGCGCTCAAGACTCACACCACCCAATTGTGCAAAATCAACAATGAACTCTAGAGCAACATTAAAACTTAAATGTACACTGCTATGAGATCTGCATGACTTCTAATGTTCCAAAACATGATCCAAAAGCAAGATTTAAGCTCAAGAATAGAATGAATTCAGACTATATAACAAAAAATGTGGACATGCATGTGGAATTCATAAAGACACAACTCAAAATTCCAGAATATGTGCATGCATGCATGAAATTCACTCTCAAATCCAACTCTTTGAAAACCAATTCTAGAGTTTAAACTCTAATCCCTTCCATGAGCGCATGTAAGAATTAAACTAAATGCACAATGAAAGGGAAATCCCTACCTTAACCTTTGAATTCCAAGGTCTAGCGGAGCTCAAATTGCAAAAGCTTCATTCAATTCTCCCTAAGTTCCAAGTCAAATCTCTCTATGTTGAACTCAATTCCCTACCACTTCACTCTCTCTCTCTCTCTCTCTCACGGTTTTAGCTCAAAAAAGGGCTGAAGGAATGTTGTATCAACATGAATGAAGTATAAAGAGTGTAGGTCTAAGATTGTCCACTATGGCAAAAATGCAATTAAGTTAAGGTGATGTGATTTAACTTTATTTAATCATACCCAATCAAATTTAAATTAAATCTACCATAAAATCGCATAAATTCTAATTAACACATAACACTAATCAATTTCGGATTTGGTCGCTGATAAGGCCTTTAATTTGCAGCTTAAAACATAAAACACGAACAGATCATTTTATGGCATACAGATAAAAACACTAAGATAATGCAATACATATGCAATGTAATTCCGGATTCTTTCTAAATTGCTGTTAGGCATACCTAATCATGGTTTAGCATTAATCGGAGGCCGGGGTTATTTTAGTTTGACAGTGTTAATGTGATGGATGACTGTGGTTGGGTGTCACGTTGAGATACTGCAACATATGCAAACGAGACCTACGGTGCCCCGCCCCGTTAACGTTTGAAATCCCCAATTTGGAAACACCACCTAATTGGTAGGTAAATGAATCATGCCCTAAAATTAAGGGGTGAGATTCTGTGGTTCAAAATTCAAATTCCGTCAATCGGTTTCCATGGTGGAGCTTTGGTGTGGCTTTCCAAAGATTTGGTGATTCAAAACGTTGCAGCTGCATTCCCTATGTTGTTTCTATAGTTTTGGTTTGGGATAAAACCCCAAAGAGTGGTGCGACGTGACAACCTTACGTCGTTTAGGGGAAGATTACGTTGGAGGAATATCTTATTCACACTCATCGACGATGACTGGTAAACGTAATTACCCGATTGTGTTTACAGAATTTATGATTCGTTTCTTGTTTACAAAACTTATTCACACTCATCAACGGTGACTGGAATCCACTTTTTGGTTGTTAATATTGGTTGCATATGACGTGTGTTAGTGCTTATTATGTTGGTCGAATCAGTAAGTTGTAGTGCGTGGTTGTTTTGGTGGGTTGGTGTGTGGTGTCGCTTATATGAAGACCAACTGAATTTCCCATTAAAACGCACAGTGTGGTGGGGTGTGTTAATAATGTAGTGTGTGTATTTGTGGGGCATCCATGTAGTTTGATGCGGTCGACATTAATATGCCAACTTGTCTGTGAAATGTTTTGGGAATGGGCAAATGATGGGGGGGTTGTGTGTCACGGATGTATGTCTTTGTGTGGCCGTTAATGTTACATTGGGTGAAACGGTACGTGCGTGTTGATACGCATCTAAATTCATATAGATGTGAAAGGCACATTTTTGTGGGGTTCGGCCATGATTTGCATGCGGCCATATTTAAATTACGGTGTGTTATGTCGGGTGGATGTTGGTATGTCCATTCCGTTATAACTGTTTGATATGTACTTTGCGTACATTAAAAAGTCAAACTTTAATATAAAATGTTATGTGACAATATCTTAGTTTGGTTCTTGTTGTTGGTGGTACGTGGTTAGTCAAATGTTGTGTTTTAATAAGTTCAGTTACTTTGATGAGTCTTTTTGTTGTTTACCGTGTATAGCGATTTAAATCACGTACATCCCCTGCCTTGTTTTGTTGCCAACCGTAGTGTGTTGTTGTGCATACGATTACATTGTAACATATGGTGTTGACATGTTATAGCATTGTAATATAGTTTCCAAAACAGTATGTTTGGAACGTTTGGCTTACGTAACTGATATTTGATTTGATGTTCAAAATGCAGGGGTTAGGAGGACAAACAGTCCATGGATGTGTTCATGTGAGCGTAAACGTCAAGATGCAGCCAGCGAAACAACGACAAATGAACTTGGGGTATGTAGGCAAGGATGGATCCTGTTCAAATAAACAAAAATTGTTAATCGTCCAAGTGTCACACCGAAGCGTAACCGTACGAGGCTCAACTTCTGGTCAAACATTGCAGGCATTGTGAAGTTGGTGTACACGCTGAATTTGCGAGACAAACACCTTGTCCACCTTAAAAAAACACTATTCTGGTTGATGTTTGAAGCAATTTTGATAAATCAACTTGACCACGTAGAGTTCCGCAAAGGGGACGACCTAGTGGTAAATATCATCCGGGCATACAATGCACGGGATGGGACGTTTCGCGCAGGCGGACAAAGCGTGTGCGTAAGCGATGATGACATCAAGTTAATATTTGGGATCCAATGTGGTTTTGGTTGCCTTGATTTGACCCCTCGACCTAAGCCACCGTCCGACTTTGTACAACGTAGGTGTCGTAACATTAATCACATAACCTCGAAACTGATATGGACCCTACTAGTCGAAGCTGCGAAGGGCAGTACTGCTCGTGATGTGGAAGACACCGCAGAGCTGCTATGCTTATATGCTTGTGGGAAATTATTCTTCTCAAATTTTGAGGAAACAATCAACTGGGCGCTAATCCGATATGTGGATAATTTGGATGCAATGAAAACGTACGATTGGACAGGTGCAATCCGTAGCTCGTTGATGAGTTCGGTGAGGGACTTCTATCGAACACCTGAAAAAGTAACCGGATATGTCGTCGCATTGATGGTACGTTTGTAATTTATTTGTTGGTTGTGTCATTAATTGCAAGCGATTTATTTATATTACATGTGGTGTAGCCATGTAGCTAATTCGGACGTTATTATTTGTTGTGTGTGATGTGGGGTACAGTATTGGCTGTGTGAACATTCAACGATCATATTGCTCGTATCCGCAACCGCGTTTCCCAGGTTTCTTAAGTGGGATGTTACCACGTTAGTAACAGCTGCACATGTGGTCAATCTATCAGGGCATGTAGATTTTGAGGTAATTGTAAATGGCAGTTACGATTGTATGATACCTATCGTAACGGTATTTTGTGTACAAGTATACGGTGACACTATTTGAAAATTGTTCATGAATTTTTTGTGTGGTGTTTATAGGTGACAGCTGGACGATTGATTACAAAAGATCATGAGGTTAAGATTTTGGAGGTAGATGGGGTAAACTGTGCTAGGAGTGCGGGAAATGCAGTGGAGGAATTCTATGGTAGTGTACATGAGGATAATTTTGTTGATATGGGTATGGAAGGTAATGTGACGGGTGGTGACGGTGGAATTATGTTAGAAATGTAGAACATGGTTCAGCGTCGGTCCATATTAAGACACCAAACAGGACTATTACACGAAACGCAAGAAAGCACACACTGGACGTTCGGCCACACATTTGCCATGCTATAGAGAAAATTGCAGAGTTTGAACTGGAAATCAACGAGAAAGACGGTGTGATTTCAGAGTTACGGGCAGAAGTGGACACACTGAGGTAGGCGAATGAGGTGCAAACGTTGTATCTTGTTGGAGGATTTTGTAGCTTGATGCAAGCTAAGGACAACGAGGTGAAGAAACTCACCACTGAAAATGCTAAATTGAAAAGGGTAGTAAATGTTTTAGAGGAGCAACTTGCTAAGCGCGAAGTGCATAACGTGACGCAAGCATTCCGTGGTGAAGATGTGAATGCAGAAGGTGTGAAATATGGGTTAAGTGGGAACGAACATGTTACAGACCTAACAAACAATACCACTCCTGACAGAGTGTTTGCAATAACTGGGGATGCAGTTTCAGTTTGGGATGTTATGCTGGTAAGAGAACAAACAGACAGGATCACTGAAATACAGCATGGTGTACTGGTTGGAACAGAGGTGGTGGTTATCAGTCCAAACATGGCAGAAGGTGGTCGGTTGAATGTTGTGAATAATTCATTTGTGCAGGACGTAAAATGCAAAGTGAGAAAGGGGTTAACCCCGACAGGGGTTGAGTGCCTGAGTGTACGTGGGCGGGTGAGCACATCGAACATGGTGCATGTTTGTTCAATTGCGAGTAACGTAGACTGCAATGCAAAAAATGGTGGGTGCACGGATGTAATTGATGTGGATGATGTTGACGTTTACGTGAAGAAGTCAGGCTTTGACATTAACAACAAACACGGCGTGTGGAAAATGATGACAGCTGCGAAGAAAAAGAAAATCACCGATGCATATAACAGAGATGGTGATAGGTATGTACAAACAAATTATTTAGGTTTAGCGTTACTGCTGCCATATGTTAATTGGTTTACGTGTGTTGTGGATTGTATGTAAGGCTGTGATGTGGGATGGGCATGGTCATGGTGTTGTTATGTATTTCACCGATGTGAAATCACTTGTGCGCCAATTTGAGATACGGGGGAATGTAAGTCGTGTTGATGGGTATTTATGCAATGCGTTTTTTTTTTCCCAACCATGCAAGAATCCAATATGTACAAATGTCACAGGTGATCGATGGATACACTGTGCTGCTAAATGCTGAGCATGAGAGGATAAATGAGGGCGCTGATGCTCCAGATAAATCTTATTTCTTCAGTAGTATTTGTCTAGTAAGTTTGTGGCTATAAATGTTATGTTTGGTTATGGGATGTCATAATGTGTGACTTGTTCGCATGGTGATGCAGGACATGATGAAGAACAACAATGTACGGTCAAGGAATAGGTATATAATGGACAACTTGCATGCTGCAAAGCTCTTTCGTTACGTACATTTCCCAATTTACAAAGACTCACATTGGACGCTGGTCGTGTACGACACTAAGGACGGGAGTTGAAAGCCTTTTAACTCGATGAAGACGAGGAGCGGAATTGTGGACGTACACTACATTAAGGCATTTTTCCTGGTAAGATTTGTACATGTTAAATTGTATGGGAGTGTGTCCACATGAAAATTGTGTTGGCTGACATATGTATGCATTGATGTAGAAAAACATTGTGTCAGAGGTCCAGAGGCAGACCATGGGAAAGGACTCGATTGATACTCAAGAGTATGATCCGCCGCTAGAATCAGTAGTGGACTGTTCCTAACAACGTCCCGAATCGTAAACACGTTTTTATTTTCCACACGACATAACCTGGTACAGAAAATGAATTGTCTTAATTTACGCTTACAACATTAATAACATGTGATGTGATATTATTGAACAGGCTTGATTGTGTTATCATTGTATGCGTTGTGATGCGCAAGTATGTGCGCCATGTGGATGTTGGTAGATCGTTGCATGGGGGCAACTGCAGTGTGTTGTGGGCGATCATGGTGTAGTCTTTTGTGAATGATCCGCTGCGTGGATTGAAGAATGATCTGGCTTGATTGAGGGTACGCACATCTAACACATTGTGGGTAACATTAAGGGTGTGTAGGGGTGCACATATGAATAACTGGTTATAGTATTAGTATCGAATATGGGTTTTCCAGATTGCGTGCGTTATGATGCGCAAATATTTACCTTTTTTGTTATGCCCATTATATTATTAGCACAGATTATGGTTTGTTCAAATTGTTAGATTAGTGTGTTGGATGTTTTGTCTTGAATTAACGCGTCACGTACGTGTACAGCATTTTGACTGCCGTTATCTGGCATATTTTTTGGAAAATATTATGATTTGTTTTGGTTGCAAAGCTTTGAAATATATGTGTATTGTGATGATCGATGTGCTTGTTCGCAAGTATGTTGTTTGTTTGTTTTTCCTGAGTTATGCATTGGGACATTCATTTGTGTCCAATTTTACCGGTTGATAGAAAATGTGTCAACCCATTCAGAGTGACAACTGTTTACTACTTAAAATAAGGCACACGTTCCAATCCATTGTGGTGCACGAACTACAGTATGGTGTATATGTGTTACAGGGGTGAACAATATGTATGGCAGTGTATTAGTGTGATGTGGAAGGCAGTTATGTGCGTCAGTGTGAATGTAGTACGACGTTCAGTATGTGGGTGGTAAATCTTAACGAATTTATTGAGGCATTAGTGATGTGGACGTGGGGGAGTGTGGTGTAAATGGGTGTTTTAGTAAATGTTAAGTAAGGTTAGGGAGGCAGCGTGATAACGTGGGACATACATTGTATGTAGCGTACATAATTTTGTGTTTTTGCATTATAGCAGTTCATGTAGTGGTACAAAGTTGGGTGTGCCGCGAGGGTCCGCCAATGCATCAACACTCGTGTGTAACACATTATGATAGCAGAATTTGGCGGTGTAATTGGTTGAGGTGCGAGGTGTGTATCGTAGGTGTGCGGGTGCATGTGACAGTGTAATTGTTGTGAGTATTAGTATGTGGGAAGTGATGTGGGACAACGTCGTTAACTGTAAGATTTTCCACGAGTTTCCTTATGTTGTCTTTGTGTGTTTGGTTATTCGTAAGTAAACTAACGTAGTGCACGAATAGCTATATTGAACGTACACACATAGTACTTATAGCCACCGGTACGCATTCTTGTGGTGAAAACAAAACTATGATAAAATTAAAACACGACTTAAGCAAGGGTACACAATTATATTTGCATAACGGTTAGAATATAACAAAATTTCTAAGTCAATTGTACTTATAGGCGAACAAAACATTGATATAATAACTTATTTAAATACTGAATTGTCTGTGATTAACACATTCTCATTTAATGATATGCACGAAGTATACATCCACTTAAAATGTAATAATATAAATTGGGATATCAACGTATAGGGATTACGACTAAATAGGTTCCTTGCAGGTCTTCCTATTGTGGTTCCCCATATGACCACACCTCCCACACCGTATTTGTTGCACATTCTCACCCTTGGACGGTATTCTCTTCTTCTTTGGCCTCCCGGGCAGGCGTTTGACGTTCGGTGGGTAAATGTTGTAGTCAGCGGGGTTGAATGGTGGTTTTTCAACTGTTGGTATTAGGTAGATGGTTGGCGTATACGTCAAATGGTATTCGGACACATGGTACCAAGGTACGACTATGCCGTTAAGGTTTCTCCTGCTTTTTCTCACTGCAACAACAGCATACGCACATGGAAACTCGTTTATTTCTCACTGGAAACATGAACATGTACGCCTGCCGATGTCCACCATAACAGATGGGTATGAATGGACCTCATACACGTCGTTATTCGCCTGACTAACTTTCCATGCCCGACTTTTGTTGTAAGCTTCTTCCAGCGGGGATTCCATTTTGGGACAAATTGCTCCAATCCATGTGTGGGCCGACACCCTCCGCTTCGCCATTTGTCGCATAATCTGACCTCTGATGCTGTCAACTATTCTGGTGATTGGTAGATTCTGTGCTTAGTGAATCCAAAAATTGAATGATTAGGCGGCGTTGGAGCTCATTTCGTTGTATTGTCTGCCTCTATAAAGCCCAATGGGAAAAAAAAAATTAAACAATAAAGTATGCTCATTTGTTGTTGGGTATGTTCAAATTTACTTTGCGTAACAAATATGTCCGTACTTGAAAAATGCGTTTGCCTAGTGTTGTGGATGTGCATCCGCAAGGAATTTCGTTACAATGGCTTTTCCAGATTATTAAAATTCGTCGGCCTTTTGATTAAATGTTGCTATGGTGGGTGCGTATGCACACTTACGTAATTTGCTGACAAGCCCAATCCGATGCATGCTGTTCACATAGCGTAGTTTGTCCCGCAAATTTCTCTGTAAATGTTGGAGGTAGAATGCGTGGTGAGATGTAGGGAAAAATATAGGAATTCATTGCTTCTTTCAGTCCCACGCTCCAAACAGACACAAACGTGAGCGTCCTATCACTGGGTACCACGTTGGCGAGATGTTGTAAGAACCAACCCCAATTCGTGTTGTTTTCGGAGTCCACAATGTCATAAGCAAGCGGAAACAACCCTATTGTAATGATGACAACATGATCAGCATGTATAATATAACAACCATAACATACAATGCTTTGGTTCCGGCATATGGAAAAATACGTGGGTGTATCACAATTTGAACTTGTTCGGACATTCAAATGGAAATGAGACTACGGAAGTAAGTGAGCATAATGTTTTTAAGTGAAATGGGACACACCTTGATTACAGTCCTTTGTAGTCGCAGCTAGCAAAAACCCTTTAAACCTGACTTTCAAGAAGGTTTCGTCCAGGAAAAGTAATGGACGACAATGACGAAATCCATCAATGCATGCTTTGAATGAAATAAGAAAAAGGCGGAGCCGGTAGTTGTGTTCATCATAATCGATGTGAACATAACTCCCAAGATTGTATTGCATGACGGCTTCACGATACCAACGCAATTGGTCGAATGATAAGGAATGAGCGCCAAGCAATTCCCCCTTTGCCTTCTCAACCCTTAACCACGCAACCCGGTAGTTGATGTCCAACCCATAATCGTCTTTCAAATCTAAGATGACATCAGTTGGACGTGTGAGTGGTCTGTCCCGAACACGAGTTGCCATAATATCAACAACCATATCAGATCCAACCCTTGGATGATTTGATATCCGGACGGATACACCGCAACTATGCACACTGTTCCATTTGCGAAGGTAGAAAAATTGATTTGCTTTCAACACTCGTGCATGTGCAGAGTACGTGCATCCCTTATCCTTCACCATGGAGCACACCGTTGTTACCCGTACGGAATCATTCTTAACATACTTGAAATTGAACCCAAACTCCATGGCATACTTGCACAAAACCGTTCGAAATTCGTGTGCACCCCCCTTAAAACATTGCCCGACGTGGGTTAACACCCGTGTCCATGATTCAGTCAGTAATACTTTATTATTGTGCGGGCAGAAATCATGCCACAAATCAACCTCGTCATCACTTTCTCCTTGGTCGTTCACGATTATTCCGAAAACTGGGTTGGGTTGCATATTATGTTGTTTGCCATACGTACGTACGCTATCCAACCTTCCATGCTGATCAATCACCACACAAACGTGTTCCAAACCGAACGGCCGGGCAAGACTAACAAGGTTTTGCAAATCCACATCATCTTGTAAAGTAAAACTGTTTAACCCTGGAATCTTGTACGACAATCCCACATTATGGGGACCTATCCCGCTGAACTTGGAACACATAAAATTGACTAATTCAGCAAACGTGCCATGATCCTGCTAATTGTATGCTACGTTAGTGTTCCGATAAGAACACAACAATATGAAACTCTCTTCCATACCTACGAGCACAGACACTCTCTTTGGTGGCCAGAGCTTGCTGGAGCTCTTTCTCCGCTTGGGCCTTCTTAGCCTCGGCCTCTCTTTTCTCAGCCTCAGCAACTTTTTCAACGGCCTCAGTGGATTCGGCCTTCTCAAGAGCTAAAGTTTGGGCCTTAGTAGCCGCCTCGGCCTGATCTTCCAATTTTTTCATCCTTGATTCAAGAGATTTGATCTCTTTCTTCATGGAAGATGCTTCCCTCTTCATATCAACCAACCTTTGTCGATTTTCAAAGGATTGCATTGAAAATGAATGGGCGTGTTGGATGGCCTGAAGAAAAAACAGAAGTATTAGAAAATATTCTCAGTAAGAAATAAGAAGGAAGAATCACAAGTACAGACAGGAACACTTACTTGAACGGAGTGTTGGAGCATAAGAGCGTAATTCTCATACTCACTAAGCTCAGCATTTCGGTTCAAATCCTTCGGAAGAAGAAGAGCAGTGCTGAGGGCGACACCAATGTTAATATCGTCGGCACTTTCACTGGCCATGATGGGCCTATCCTCCAGAGTTAGTTCAGGAGCCCATGGAACGTCGGGCTTCTTTGACGCCGAGGTCGTCGCGGACGATGACCTTGGCCTCTTTGATTGTGTAGACCCTGAGGGTTGGCCCTCAGCAGACCTTTTGGTAGAAACAAAGGTTGATTTTTTGCTTTCTGCCAGTTTATAAATAGGCAAAGCATCCTCAGCCTCGGCATCTGTAGCCTTGGCCTTGGGCTGAGTCTTTTTAACTCTCTTTGGCTTTGGTGGGGGCATTGATTGCGTTGGTACAGCTTCGGCGTCAGTTGGAAGGTCGGCAAGAAGATCTTGAACGACAGGCCTTGAACGAACCATCTCAGCAGTCTTTACAAGTCTTCGTCGACGTTTACGTTCTGGAATTGGTATTAAGTAGGGGGCCGAAGTTGATGGAAGATCGGCTGGGCTAGAGGTGGATCCTTGATCTGTTCGGGATGAAGAAGCGGTTACAGTTGTAGCGGTAGGTGGAGAGAGACTCTTTTTCTTCCTTTTTGGGATGTCGGGCAAAGTGGATTTATATGTAGGGATGAAGTTTAGTAACAGTGGGGCTTTTCGTTTATGGACTGGAAGGTCAAGGAGTTTTTTCAGATCTGTTCCTGGGAAGAAGGATTGACGGAAGTTTTTCGGTGGCTGATGAAGATCTGTAGGACAAAGAAACAGACGTCAGAAACAGAAAGTATTAAAGACTTGAATAAAAACAACTAAGTGTTGGCTCAGGGCTCTTATCCTTGCCCTCCGTAATTGTTCGAGGAAGAGGGTAGAGGTGGACATCTTCGTCTGGGCCAAATTCCCAATTTCCCGACGCAATAACAAAGTCATCTCCAGCCCCCTTGTTGGAGTCTAGAAGGTCGGCTACAATTTTAAACTGGGTAGATCTCGGCTTAAGGTAATAAACGAAGCCCCTATCCTTCAGGTTGAGGGGACACATGGTATAGCAGTACTGAAGGTCGGCCAGGGTGATTCTAAGATTCTCCTGCCTAGCTAAAGCTATAATACCGTTAATCACTCTATAGGAGTTGATAGTAAGTTGCATGGGGTTCAGCCTGTAGAAATGAAGAACTTCACGAAAAAAGGGGTGAAGTGGAAGCCGAAGTCCACATTCGGTAAAAGCTACTATAGGAAAAGGCATTGTATGATCTGTGGGCATGATGGTATCATTATCCCCAGCTAGCTTAAGGTGAACATCGGCTGGGATAGAGAATTCCTGCCTAAAGTATTCAAGTTTTGTTGGGGTATTTACCCTATGCCTCCACATACCCATTATGTCGGCTAAAAATGTGTTTCAGAATATGGGCGTTTTAAGAAGGGTTGCAAGAACCTCGGCAAAGACCTAGGAAAGGACTGATAAGGCTTGTTTCAGTTTTCCCTAAAAATTGAAGGTTCTACACACAACTCCCAAGCCAAAGAACTATAAAGATCAAGATCGAAGGCACAGATCTAAACAAGAAAACAAAGGCGACGCTTCAGAATCAAAGAACAGAGGTATGATTCTCAGAAACAAAAGAAATACAGAAAAAATAAAAAAATAAAAAAAAATCAAGAACAGTGGCAAAAAAAAAGTGGTGAAATAATGCAAGTGTTCAAGATGTAGCCATGATTCAAGATACAAACAGATCCAAGGCTTTGAACAAAAGCGATAAAAGCAACAGGCAGACGGAAGCACATAGAGAGAATTAAGAATGAAAGGAAATAATCTTACCAGAACAAATGAAGCCGGGGCAATGTTCGCCGAGCTCAGAAATCGGTTGCAACAGCAAAGAAAGCTTCACAAGAATGGGAGATTAAGGACAGTTCCAGAAGAGAGATCGAAGCAATGGCAGATTCGAATGAGAAAGAGCTTTCGGAGAGAGAAAGAGCAAGAAGTCAGAATGAAAAAGTGAAGGAAAAATAGAGGCAAAGAAGAGTTTTGTCAAAAATTTGAAACGGCGGCAAAATTAGGGCAATTACTACGTCTGGAGCAACGCACGCGTCAGACGGCGCAGACAAATGACAGACAGCTTTCAGGCGCGTCACAGACACGCTCCAATGAAGACAAAACACGTGAAAGGAACGGTTAGATATGCATGACAGCTCATGCACGTAGGAAAGTACGTTCGAAACCTTGTTCTCCGAAGAAAACACGTCGGCTGGAAGAGGATTATCTCGGCTAAATAGTTTTTGAGCCATTACTCAGAAAAGAAATGTTGAAATGTCGATATAGGTTCCATCACCTCAGAACGCCGAGGTAATAGAACCTAGGGGGCAGTTGTGGGGATATATTTTCTGAATACCAACACGTGGCATGGTGACGCCAACGTGTCAGCCGAGGTGCCACGTGTCGTGGTAGTTATCCTATCCTAACAGCCAAACAACCTCAAACGCACATGCTTATAGTTATACTCACCATCAACCCCCACAGCCTAAGTACAACCGAAACCTGCCATTTGTACGCCGTCTGATCTTGGCTCTGATCTTACTGTTCGTTGCAATCACCGCTGTTGGCTGGATCACATGGCTCATTCTTCACCCTCAAGAACCCGTCTTCCACGTCGACTCACTCTCTGTATCCAACTTCAACATCTCCGACTTGCAGAAAAATGCCCGATACGAGGTCCAATTGACCGTAACGAACCCGAACAAGAAGATAAACCTGGAGTTCGAAACCTTCAGCGTCTCTGTGTTCTACAAGAGGAACCCGCTCTCAACGGGGTCAGTTCTTCGGCCTTTCGATGTGAGGAAGATGAATGAGACTGCAGTGAAAATTGAGTTGGGTTCGAAACCGAACGAGAATTGTCAGATAAGGGGAAAAAGGACAGCCATTGACATGGCCAACATGGGTAGAGATTGGAAGCAGAGGAAGATGAGTTTAAATGTGGAAATGGTGGGTTTGGCTGAATTTAAGGCTAGTGATTGGCTAAGCAGCCACAGGACAGTTGGTGTTTTTTGTGAGAATTTGGTAGTAGTGTTTGGCTCAGATGACATGAGCCGAATGACAGGGAAGCTCAAGAGCACTGGAGGGAATGACTACTGTTCTGTTTCTCTTCTTTGATGCCCTTTTTCATTTTAGAATTATTATCTTTATTGTTTTATTCAATTAATTATTTTTTGTTAGATAAATTGGTAGGCATATGTAGTGAATAGCATGGTGTTGTGTAATTTGTTCCTATAGCTTTCTTTTGTAATTGTTATAGCAATAATGTTAGACCAATTTTTGAGCCAGGTTCAGTTCTGTTGCTGGTACGAGGTTGGTCTGTTATTGGACTGTTGGATTTCTTTGTTGTTCTCTTCTTTGTTTCTTTTCTTCTTGGGTTTGGTTCCTCACCAAACTCGTGGGGTGAGCTAGCTTGCTGCTCTTCCCCTCCTTTTTTGATGTAATCTCTGCTTTTGTATGATTTTTGCATCAATGAAGGTTCTCTTTTGCTGATTAAAAAAATAATGTTAGACTAATTTTTAATAGCATGTTTTAATTTGACAATAAATTTACAAACACAAAACTAATTATTAAATTAAATATAAAAATGATTTTGATCATGCGTATTATATAAGGTTTGTTATAAAAAAAAAAAAAAATTCATCTGTATTTTATTGTTAATTTGAAGGTTCAAAAACGTTGAAAATGGGATAGTCAATGCCATTCGCTTTTTTGGACTTGGGACCTATTTATTATGAAGTGGACAACGGAATTCAAACCTTAAATCCTCAAATAAAAATGAAAAATAAATAATTTAAAACATTTATTTGTTTTGTCTGATTGGTAGTGCAGGCTCAAGTAAGTCACTTATTACGAATTATATATGCGTGAGTTTGACAATTTAAATTTATTTTACCGTAGTAAAACTTCATATTAAAAGATAAATAAAAATAAAAAATTGAATGAAACTTGATCATATGAGTAAATGAATGGTCTATGAATTGGACTTGCTCGTGATGAGCAAAGCAAGTTGACGGTGGATTGGATCTTCTTCCTCGCTGGCTCTTGAGAAACGAATCCTTTGGATGCAAGGTAGACTGTCCTTTTCATGGGTTCTCTAACGACCAAGTTAGTGAGGGGTTTAGTGAAAGAAAGAAGATAATAAAGAAACTATAAATTCAAGTGAAGGGAATTGATCTTGTCGCCTGTGGACGAAGTTTAATTTGAATCGATCCTTGAGTTGTTTTGACTTTCCAATCTTGTATACAGCCTTATTGGGTTGTCGATCAGTTGGGTTCAGTTGGGATGAACCCTTGTCCTTGGCTAAGCAAAGCTTGTTACCCATCTGGAGGTCAGGATGAACCCAGCGACTAGGTCTCAAACCTTTATCGAGTGTGTGGATATTAGTAGTTGCCCATTTTCGAGCAACGTTTTAACCAAGCATAAGGAATTGGGATTGTCTGTCGAGTTGCCTCTCTCAGCTCTGGAGTCCGTTTTACTTGGAACCTTTGCATTGATCAACACTTCAGTTTAAATGAAGTCCGGTATGCCAGAGCCATACCAATGATGACGTTGTGTTTGATTTATTATGTGAATTTACGTGATTAGTTTGGAATATAACGTACATAATGCCTCATGATATTTGAGACTATTGAATAAATATTTCATCTAATGTGTGTTGCGACTTTTCATTTATATAATTTATGCTACATAATATTATGGAATAATTTACAATAACGTTATAATAACATTTAGTTTATCATATGATTTGTGACTATTACATTGGTCGATTAATTCCCAACACTTATAATATTTGTTTTCAATGCAATTGTGACAACTTATATGATATGATAAAAAAAATGATTTAATAATTTTTTCATTCTCAAGCCACATCGTTGTCCAAATTTACCACCAAAATTGATTTAATAATATTATTTTTCTTCTTTTTTGCCTTTAGGAGTAGTCTTCCGATTTTGCAAGGAAGGAGGCTTAAAAAGTAGGAAGCCACGCGGCAGAGGAGGAGAGTGAAGTTTCTGCATCGTTATTCTGTTAAAAGTCAAGTGCAATTGTTGTGTTGTGTTGTGTTGTGTTGTGTGTATGTACATTTCATGGCCCCTGAAACCTTCGTTGTTATATGTAGAGGCAAATTCCTAGAAACCTTGATGATCTTTCCCCAAAACTTACAAACCAACCACCAATAAAAACATTTCCCTCCATTTTCATTTTTAAAGCTCACACGTTATTGTAATTATATATACACACCATCCCTTCCTATACCCACATCCCATGACTCTCTCTTTATCTCTAGAAACACAATAGCTGCATATATCTTCAGGTAGAAATCAATCAAAAACACGAAGCAAAACGAGTACTCTAATGGCAACTTCACAACCCACCTATCCAACTTATCCCAACACCCAAACAACCTCGAACCCTTGTTCTTGTAGTTATACAGGCACTCAATCTTCATCTCAACCGATGCACGACAGAATCCGATTGATTGTACGCCGTCTGATCTTGGCCCTCATCTTTCTATTCGTCGGGATCACTGCAGTCAGCTTCATCTCATGGCTCATTCTTCAACCCCAGCTCCCTGTGGTTCGCGTCGACTCCCTCTCTGTTTCCAACTTCAACCTCTCTGACTTGCAGACAAATGCCCGATACAAAGTCGAATTCACCATAATGAACCCGGACACGAAGATAAGCCTTGAGTTTGAGCGATTCTTGGTCTCGGTGTCCTACGATAGGAGCCCGCTCTCGAGGGGGTGGCTGGGCCGGGCTTTGGAGGTGAGGAAGATGAATGAGAGTGGAGTGAAAATTGAGTTGGGATCAAACCCGGGAGATAATTCCTGGATAACGACAAGGACGACCATTGAAATAGGGAGTGATTGGAGGGAGAGGAGGGAGGTGAGTTTGAATGTGGGAATGGTGGGTTTGGCTCAATTTAAGGTTAGTGATTGGCTAAATAGGCACAGCTCAATTAGTGTTTCCTGTGAAAATTTGAGAGTCGCGTTTAGCTCGAATGACACGAGTTCCATGACAGGGAAGCTCAGGGGTACTAGTGCAAGGAATGACTACTGCTCAGTTTACCTTCTTTGACTTGTTATTATGCTCTGTTAATTGGTTTTGGAGAATGAGTATTTTTATTCTTTTATTCAATTATCTGTTAGATAAATTGGCATAGTGAGTGAATAGTAGCATGATGTCAGTGATTTGTTCCTTTATAGCAATAAGATTGTACCAATTTACATATTTATCCAAAAAAGATTGTATCAATTTACTCTATAGAGATTATGGCAATCAAAATGCAATTCTAATTGGGTTTAGAGTTTAGGGTTTAAGGATATATATTTTATATATATAGTGGGTATTTGGGAAGTTGTTATTTTAGTTTTGGGAGACTTGCATGCAGATCCTAATAAGTGGATTTATTGTCCAATAGGTTCTATGATAATTAATGACATTTTTTATCGAACATAATTAAAAAACGTCAATAATTATTAATTTCCAGCGACAGTTTGAAAATTATCACAAAAAAGTTACTAATTATAAGTTTTAACGATAATTTTAAAAAATCATCACACAAAAAATATCATTAATTTTTAACTTTCAACGATAATTTGAAAATTTTGTCACATAAAAACGTCACTAATTGTAAATTTAGCAACAATTAATAACAATTGTGACAAAAAAAGTCACTAGATGTCAATTTTTAGTGACATGCAAAAAAGCATCACAAAAAATTATTTTTAACAACCATTTTTTTAGAACTAACTTTCAATAGGATTAATGAGAATTAAGTCCAACTATTAAGACTTATTAATAGTTTACCCTTATTATTATCAAAAAAAAATTATTATTATTTTTTTAAAAGAATTACTATTTTTATTATTATTTATAGTGAATAGCATGGTGTTATGTGATTTGTTACGATAGCTTTCTTTTGTAATTGTTATAGCAATAAGATTGGGCCAATGTTTTAGTGGCTGTGTTTTAATTTGATAACAGGTCTACTCACATATAAATAATCAGAATTAATTCTGAAAAGCAATCTTAATCATACATATCAAAAGATGAAATCTGTCATATAAAAAAAAAAAAAATATTGGCTTTTAAATTTTTTTTTTCTAAAAATTTTTTGACTTTTCACTTTACTTTCGTTTAGTTTATTAAAAAATACGTCTCCATATACTAATAATTGAAATGGTAATATTATTATAATTATGATGATTATGAGTAATCCAGTCCAATTAGGCTATGTTTAGGGATAGAGATTTGTCATTCACAATTAGTTAATGCATGTAAGATTAAAATTGTACCAATGTTTGAAATTAGTTAGATGATCTATCAAAAGGATTTGTCATTCATAACTACCTGATATATGTGGATTAAAATTGTACTATAGTGTTTGAGATTAATTGGATGTCCTATCAAATACAACTTTCATATTAAAATTTTATTATTATTATTTTTCATGCATAACACGATTTAATAAATAATAATAATACTTTTTTTAGTTATTTTTCATGCATAATAACACGAATTTTTTGATAACTACCAACCCAAATCCTAATCCACCGCCAGATTCCTATTGCGGCGGCATAGCCTATTGCCTTGGTATTTTTATGCCAACCATCAGTCTCTTTGTGTGCATATGGATACGATTTTTTCAAGTTCTAGATCTTGAATTCCAACACCAATCAGTCTCCATAGCCATCTTCAATGTCACCAGCGATAATCAAATCTTTGCAAATTGGGACGTCAGTTTCAGTGTAAAAAACCCTAACCCTAAAACAATCACTTTTTTCTATGACCATCAAGGCTTTGGTTTGGCAAGAGAAAGACTCAATACTAAAGTGGCCTCATTTAGTCAAGAGGCTAAGAACATGACGGTTTTGTGTGCACCAATGTTTCGGCGAGCATTGATCAATGGATCGTCAGAGATGTTGTGGGGAATTGGGTGAGTGGAATATTGAGTTTTAGGTTCAAGGTATGAACTAAATTCCGATTCAAGAGCTCTAGGTAGAGGTTGTTCCTGGCGAGTATTAGGATTGAATGCAAGAACTTGAGGTTAGGGTTTTCATCACATAAGGCAACTGCACCATTATTGTGTGGCTTGGGAAATTGCGAGGTTTAGGATATTTTTTTGAAGAGTAATGTTCATGGTTATCAGAATTTCGATCCGAAGTTTACGATCTTACGATCCAGTTGAATACAATCGATTCGGATCGTGTAAAAAATTTCTTATAAGTAGGATTTTTCAATCCTAGTAATGGGATCTTATAAGATCGTGGAATCCCAATCCGAATCCGATCTAATTCAATCCAATTTACAAGTATTGTATGACATATTTTATTGTAAATTTTATATTTGTTGTCTAAATACTAATTTGTGGTAAAAATAAATAACAAAAATTAAGTAATATTGAATCAAATAGACTAAGAAAAACAAACTAAGAAACAAACAATCAAATATTGGGCTCACCTACAAAGACATGAATGAGCTTGAGCGAAAGTCCAGTGAATAATATCAAATAAAGAAAATACATTGGAACATTAAACATCAGATGGCCTTGGGCTTAATTCATTCATGTCAAACTGACCCTTGGCCTTTTCAAATTTTCATATCAAACTGGCATTTAGGCCTTTCAAACTTTCATATCAGACTGGCCTTTCGGCCTTTCAAACTTTCATATCAGATTGGCCTTTAGGCCTTTCAAACTTTCACATCAAACTTTGTCCACCATTCAAATTAATGAACTTTACAAAACTTACATAGAAGTAAGCAATTGGACAATAACATATTTCAGATGTTACTCACAGTGATCGGCTTGTGGATTTGTCCTAGAGCTTGACCCTACATATCACATAACACATATGGGTTACAAATAATTCAATCTGTTCTTTAATTCACATTTTCCTCTTTAGGTTTCATCCTTATCTCTTTAACTCAATTACAATGCTCAATGCATGCCTAAGAGTGCTTACAAGTGAATGAGGACGGAAAACGAAACACAGAATGCATAAACAAAATTTCAGAAAACAGGATCCCCGCTCGAGCGTGGACTTCCCTACTCGAGCGGACTCTTGAGGCCTGCAAAAGTACTGGTTATATCAAATTTACGCTCAAGCGTGCATTCTGGCGCTCAAGCGGAAGGCCTCTCTACATGGCTCCCCGCTCGAGCATGAACTTATCCGCTCGAGCGGACACCATGTATAATATTCCCAACTTTTCATCTAGAGCCAAACACACTCCTATGTTAAACTCCATTTAGGATATCTAAACCCAACTCCAAACTTGATGGTAGGTGTAACCAAACACCCCATTTCAACACAAAAAAATATTAGAAGTGCAGATTTTTTTTCTTCATTCTTCATTCTCTAACTTCTCTCTACTTTCTCTCTCATTTTCCTTTACTTTCTTGGAGGCCAAACACCATGTGGGGAATTGGGTGAGTGGAATATTGAGTTTTAGGTTCAAGGTATGAACTAAATTCCGATTCAAGAGCTCTAGGTAGAGGTTGTTCCTGGCGAGTATTAGGATTGAATGCAAGAACTTGAGGTTAGGGTTTTCATCACATATCGCAACTGCACCATTATTGTGTGGCTTGGGAAATTGCGAGGTTTAGGATATTTTTTTGAAGAGTAATGATCATGGTTATCAGAATTTCGATCCGAAGCTTACGATCTTACGATCCATTTGAATACAATCGATTCGGATCGTGTAAAAAATTTCTTATAGGTAGGATTTTTCAATCCTAGTAATGGGATCTTATAAGATCGTGGAATCCCAATCCGAATCCGATCTAATCCGATCAAATTTACAAGTATTGTATGACATATTTTATTGTAAATTTTATGTTTGTTGTCTAAATATTAATTTGTGGTAAAAATAAATAACAAAAATTAAGTAATATTGAATCAAATAGACTAAGAAAAACAAACTAAGAAACAAACATTCAAATATTGGGGTAATTTAAGAAAATTAATTAGTCGGAAAAACAAAATTAGCTTTAGCGGAGTCTAAGGAGGGTAAGATGATTGCAACCTTATTCTAATTTTTGGAGAGATTATTTTTGTGGCTCGAATCCGCTCCAACAGGGATGCTAATGACAAACCTTATTACTCGGTTAAGCTACTCTTTTGAGTTCTTATTCTTCATCTTCTTTTTTGATAAAATACAAAACTTTTACCATCGACTTTTCTATTGTATAATATTATATGTACATTTTACATGGAGTATTATATTTTTCACAATATCTTCACTTCTTTTTAATAGAATGTAGGCTCATTTTGTGTATACATTTTAAGAAATATTTATTTATATTAAATTATTATGTAATTTGTCTTTTTCGGTAGGATCTTACGATCCTCGATCCGATTCTACGATCCGATCCTGTAAACACCTCCAACGATCCAACGTAGGATCTCAATTTTAACAACCTTGG